TACATGGGATTTCGGAGCGGTAAATTTAATTTAGAAATATGACATTTAATTACCAATATAAAAATGCAACTTTTGCTTTTTATTTTTTTTTTAATTTATGATATAGAACATTTATTGATTTTGCATTTGAAATAACATTTAATTAAATGACTTCCTTTTTGTATTGAATTTCTTTATTTTCAACTATAGTTATTACAACTGCGGCATAATGTTTAATAATTTATTCTAAATGCTGTATATATCGTTAACATCAATGCCGTATATTATGCAATGGTCCTGCATAATAGGATTCTGATGGAGGAGTCTGGACCCCTTCTTTTTCAACTCTATACCATTAAATATGTACGGGATTGCAAAATAATCATTGAAGATGAGCATAGAAATCGAACCATACATTTTTCAATAATAATTATTGCCCTCTTCAGAGAATTACCTGGCTTCCGGTACCGTCAGATTTTTACAGTACAATATTCTAAATGGTTATTTTTCTTTGACCTATATTGTTTTAAAAATGCCACACAAAAACAACTTGTCATAATATCCCACTTCAAATCAAAGTTTGGTTCACCAGCATACTCAGGTGTGCCTCCTAAAATTGACTGCATGTTGTCTCGTATGATACTACAATTCTATGCATAATTTATGGTGAGTCATTTCACACCTTCGATTTTTAGCATGGGCTTATAGTCTATAACTGGTGGTGTCTGGCACACATACATACGTCCACAAAAAATTCCCTGTAAGAAAATTTTACATTTATAAAATCCATTGCTCTGTGCTAGTAACTTAATCACTTGCACTTCCCTGTAATTCGATTATCGCTCAACATTCCAACTTCACTTACTGACCGCATGACGACCGCAGTTTTCGTTTCATTGCAATTGCAATTTAATAATTACTTTTATCGAAAATTTTTGGATTGTCAACAACAAGCTATGGAACCATTAATATTTGAAAAAGGAAACAAAGATGTTGCCAAAATTTGAGAATTATATGATCTGGTCCAAAATGAATACCTGAAAAAGGTGCACAGTGAAAAATGCGTACACAGAAAATTTAGCAAAATAAGCATACAAAGGATAATTATGTATACCTGGCCCTGGTTACGTAAAGGTTGCAAAATTAAAGAGGCATGAAGAATGCGAATAGTGCTCATGTTTTGACAAAGTATAACAGAATTAAACTCCACAGTGCCATCAAGTTCCCGAATAAGGGTAAACGTGCTGGTGTACAACACTATAGCATGTAGGTAATAATATGCATTATTTTTAAATAAGATAGCATGTTAAATAAACCATTATTACCCGTAATTAGAACTAGTTTAATATAATTCGGAGAGGTGGATACAATGTAAAAATTAGTAAATATATAGATGCAATGATCTGAATTTGCGAACAACTAAATATTTTTCACAATGGAAGTTGTAACTACAAACTGTGTTTGCTGCACAAAGGTTTTTCGTACCAATACATGGAGAATCTAAGGATGTGATAATAACAAGGCTTTATTCCAAAGAAAAGTCAAGGTATCAAAGAACAATAAAATCTAGAAAGTCTGAAATTTTAAGTAAAGCACCTCACCAATGCGGAGCTTCTAAAGAAGTAAAAAAGTGTGTCCACAAAGCGAAAAAGAGCTCGTAAAAAGAATTTTCTATCCGAACTATACACGGAAGAAATTCACAACACATGTTGTCAATTTTACCGAAGTGCCAAATGCTTCTTCCTTAAAAAGAATTATGTATCATCAGCGCACCAAAGCTCAATGACATAAAAAGGAACCTTAAATTCGAGAAGAAATTCTATTTGTTGAAAGAGACAATATTAAGCATTCAAAGGAGTTCTTCATGGACGTAACATTCACAAGCTGTAGTAACCGATTTTCCCCAATATACACTATTCACACCGACTTCGATAGCACCAAAGAAGAAGCAAACGTGTTTCAAGTGGTTTTTTTGTTCTTACCTGACAAGAAGAAGGAAACTTGAAATTATTTCGTCTGCTACTCCAAGCTATTCCAGAATGAAATCCCAAAATAGTTCACGTAGATTTTGAAGCAACGGCTACTATTTTCGCTTTGCGCGAAATTTTTCCAAATATTAATATTCAAGGATGTTTCTTTAATATGAAAAAGTGCCTTTGTAGGAAAATGCAAGAACTTGGTTTGACAACGGATTATCGAGAAAACGATGAAATACATCCAAAGTTGCGCTGAATTGGTTTTCCTAAAACCTCAGGATGTGTCAGGATCGAAATTTATTCTGCACCAAAATTGACTGAATTTTTTAACTATTTTGTTGAAAGGTGGTTGGAAAACGAATAATAAGTTTATGGAGCTGTTATAAGCGATGCCAGCACACAAATAATACCATTGAAGGTTAGCATAATAAAATTAACACTAGTATAGGACAACCGAATCTAAGATTTCAGGACGATGTACAATAATAATTTGTCTGAAGGAAGTAGCGGAGAGTTCTAATAATAATGTGCTCTTGTAAATGGAATTAAATTTGGAAGGGAACGGAAGAATAAAGATGTGCATTAAAACAGACGATAAAAATCAACGAAATCAAATGAAGTACCGAAGCCAACGACATTATGGCTTTTCTAAAAGTCATTGCTATAATTCAGAAATTAGAATAATTTTTTGTGGAATGACAAGATAAAGAAACCCGTCAAAAAAGTGTAAATTATGAAAAAAGAAAAACAAAAAGAATAACTATTACAAAATATCTAATAATAACAAATGTAAAAGACCAAACCGATTTTAAATACGTCAAAATTTATTATGTCGCCAGTCCGAAGTCTAGAAAAAGTGTGAGAGAAATTGGAAATGACTTGTACCCATATTTCGACAGTATTCTCTATTAGGACGTAATTTACCTTTTGCTAAAAAGACTGTAGGCCTTTCTTATTGTGTGCATTTTTCGAGACACCATTATCAAAGGTTACTTTCTATTTAAAATTTAACCACATTGTCTACTGCAGGATTACCACAGATTAAGAGAATCGTAAAATCCGTTATTATACCGGTGAATCTATCATTTAATTGCTTCGATACTTCCAAAATTTATCTGTTCTGCTAATATAAACAATTCTCTAATCTGGAATCGAATAGGGTGGGATGGACTCAATATTTAACTTGCGTAATGATTTTAGAATAGAATAGAAAAAGAAATTAAAAAAAGCTTTACAATACACATGTTATGTAACGGTGTGGTAAGGGAAGGAACGAGTTATATCGTGCGTTATAATTCTGTTACGTAGGAGGGGGGTCAAACTGTTAGGTACCTATAGAATACTGTGTTTGCATTAGGTAATTTATGTACAGCCCCTTGCAAAAATTGAAACCTTGCGGTGACAGATCACCTAACTGTCAGCCCTTATTGAGTATTTCCTTTAGTTCTATAAATGTTAACACATCACTCACCTTCCCGTCTCCCAACGTTTTTGAGATGGAATTATAAGTAAATTTTTACCACTTTACGTAGTGCCTTTAGCAACCTTGTTGGCTTCATCTACTTGTACTACTTATGCTCAATCTATACAATAGTAACATCTCTGGAAAAAAACGTTAAACTGAGGGGTTTACAATATTGTTGATGTAACTCACAAATAAATATATTTTATGTATAAGAATTAATAATTTCAAGGAGCATATTTGAATAANTAAAACTTCACTGCGTGACAATATTTGAAATGAACACCGCAATTCTTACTCGCAACGTTTTGTCAGCGATTTATTGTTGACCACTTCAAACGATTATTGGATACCAACAATGATTTTAATTAGTTGAATAGATGTAACTCACCAGTGTTACCTGGTTTATTGCATATGTAAAAGCAAGCATTTTTACATTAAATGTCTAAAATGAATGCTACAGAATTCTATTTATTATTATTATTATTAAGGGTAAATTAGAAAAAGTGCACAGTATTTTGACCTAACCCTAAATAAAATCGGAAAAACTTGTAATATACTACAACCAACGCTGGGCGCTACCCAAAGCAAAATTGTCTTCAATAGCATTTACTGAATTATTATACAATAACTTATTTTATTTTAATAAGAGGATCTTTCTTATTTCGTTAAATTTGAGTATTTAATACACCTTCACTGTTCATCAAGTCAATTTCGCTTTTCTTGTGTTTCGATTTGGATCTAAAGCTCCGAAGGCTGTCAAGGAGGTGGTTTTTGTCCTTTAGGTTGCGAAAACAAATAACCCCCAATATTATAAATAAAACCAGAACTAATACTGATAAGCATATAACTAAAGTAGGTGTACTTTCCTTGATAAGTGAAACAGTTGTTTGCCCTGTTGACAGGAGTTCCGATTTTGGTCGATTGGTAGCATGAAATGCAGTTAGTTGCTTAACTTTCGTATGCAGTATTGCGATATTGTCGGATATATTTCTCATGAAAGTGTTGGCATTGTCCATAAATGTCGACGTCTTGGCGGGGTCGACATAAGATGTATGTGGTATATTTTCAATATTCAACAGGGATTCTTGTTGGTGAGTAGATTCTTGTAAATGAACCATCCGCTCAGAGTTGTTTAAGACTTTTTCTAGCAACTGCTTTACTTCTATTATCATGTCAGCACTATACGTTGTATTTAATACATTATAGAGGTTTGAGAGTAACTTATTTATATGTCCAACGGTATCGGATTCGTATTGATTAGATTGATTAGATAAAACAGAAATGTTGAGGTGCGTAAGGTTATCGGCACTCACTATTTTCGGCATTTTACTTATTTGCACAATTTCCACAACTTTTCCAATAAGGTTATTGTTTTTTGAAATTTTCTCTGATATTTCCATTAAAATGTTTAAAAGGTGCTGAAAGTATAGTTGAGTTTGAGAGCTATCGATTGTCGAGGAGAGGTTTGTCGAGACTTTGTTCCTCGAAATGGTAATGGAAGATTCATTTGAATGTAAAGGTGATGAGGTGCAGTGGATCCCATGCAAATTATCCGTCTGGTAGTTTAATAACTACCTAACCTAATCTGGTAATCCAGATTCTACCACAGCACCGGTCATTCTGAATGCCTTTAGAATCGCAAATAATATATCACATGTCCACTTATTCCCAGACAGATGTATACGTTTTAATTTTGTAAATATTGATATCAATTCTTCTGCGTCTAGGTAGGTGAAGTCATTTTCTGATAGGTTAAGTTCCGTTAAACTTTGCATGGAGTATAAGGATTTGGAATCTATAGCAGTTAGACAATTATGTGAAAGACTGAGAAATTCTATACCGGTCAGTCCTGACAGTATCCCGTATGGAATACTGGTTAATAAGTTTTTAGATAAATCGAGTATATTCAATTTTGCTAAACCTTTGAACAGAGATGGAGGGAAAGACTGTATTTGATTACCACTTAAGTTCAGTAGTCTGAGTTCTGCATGGGAGTGAAATACACTGGGATTTAGCTGTCTTAAATTATTCTGAGAAAAATCGATCTCAGTAGTGTTAACGAGCGACGAAAATAATCCTTTCTCTAATATTTGCAGTTTATTTTTGTTTAGATGTAATCGTTTCAAGTTCACAAGGTCTTTAAAAACATCTTTGTTAATATTGTCTAAGTTATTATTGGTCAGTACTAATGTTTCAAGTCTCAGGAGATGGTTCAATGTTCCAATAGCTATTTCTGTAATATTGTTGTGATCTAAATATAATTCTCGGAGTTTCGTTAATCCTATAAATGCGCCCATTTCCATAGTGTTAGTCCCAGTGTCATTCAGGTAGAGCACTTTTAAATTCGAAAAGGTATGAAATGCTAGGGATGGGATTTTGTTTAGGCTGCTGTTTAAGAAAAGGAGCTTGGTTGATTGATGCATATATGAGGACGAATACTCTACGAATAATTCTCTCGGAAAGTTTCTAATGCTGTGGCAAGTAAAGGATTAACTAGAGTAATAGTCTCCGTATTTATCACAACAGTAATTCTGCCTTCCAGAATAATAATCACACTCTTGATTACCATAAATTGATTATGTGAATGATTAAGGATAATATCCATAACGAGTAGAACTTTTTCATGGCGACCACCTAAAAGAAAAATAAATGTGCCTTTATATAAAGTTACTGAGGTTCATTTATGTTTTAGAAGGAATAAAATTTAAAAACTAGGAAAAGAATTATAGTGGGCTATTCTTACATTCTTAATAGCTAAGTAATTTTGTTTGTTTGGAATGACCTCTTTAATTATAATTACAATTGTAATTAAAAAATTAGGCTGATGCCTAGAATGCAATATGTTATTTTAATTTTAGTGGATTAGTTTATAAAATCTTTGTGTAACAAGGGTTATTTCTCTCAGACAGAAGCCTTCAGGTTCGCGTCGGCTCTGTTTAATCATTACTTTAGATTTAACTCTTAAATTATCACTCCCACATACATTTACTTTTGATGAACTTGAATAAGAATCATTCCCATGTTCCGCTGGGTGACTATTTTCTTGTCGATGCTACTGAATTTTTTATTTTTTCATTATTCGACATTTTTGTACCCTGAGACGTGTTAAAGCTAATTTCCTTTTATGATTATTATCCAATATTGTTTTCGCCGGAATAAGTAATAATATAATGTAACGTTGCTTTAACCTATAATCTCATATTAAAAACAAGTCTCAAAATTCGCGTGGGAAACAAGCTAAGAGGGAGATATATTTTAAGGTTACGTATACTTCAAAGCCTTGTAATGTTTTTCATTCTAAGAAGAACCTAGAACTACGCTTACGAATCGAATCTTACAAGCTAAGCTAAAATAAAGCTAGTTTGAAGTTTTCAATTTTCTACCAGGTTATTTTTTACCTGTTATATTTGTATTGTTAAAATTGTTGTTGTTGGAGAAAGCAGAGGTGTCGTTATTAAGTAAATAGTATTATGAAATCAGTGCAACAATTTCCCCGAAAGCAACAAGTTAAATTTTTAAATATTCATGTTCTTCTTTGTACAATACATATTTTACATTTTCAAAGTGTTTGATATTATTCACATTGAAGAAAAAATTGATGAAAGTGGTTATTCAAAATTAATGGACTTCATCCAATACAGAGTATCACGTGTTTCTCATTTGACCTCTGCTTAACATGCAAATGTAATAATTTAAATTATTATATTTGTAAATTTTACATACCTTTTTTGTCATTTATGTTTCATATTGCACTTCTAGCGTTCAAAATTAGTTAAAGTAGTAGTAGTTGTACTGTAACTGCAATTTATTGTTATTTTTACATATTGACTGCATATAATTCGACGATTACTATTCTAAATATCTCATAAAAAGGTCGGCTATAAAGGGAGATAAAGAATTCCCCATAGCTGTTCCTGCTTTCTGTTCGTAGAAGCAACCATTTATCTGAAAATAATTTTGCCGCATGCACATTGAAGCCAGAGTTATGTACTCAGCTACAATGTCGGCGGAGAAACCATTTTCTTTAAGTAAATCCTCTAAATACGTCAAAGTAAGCGGAACAGGTACACTTGGAAAAAGGGAGCATACATCAAATGAAACCATAACCTCACTGTCTTTTAGTTTTATGTCTTTGACTTTGTTTATGAATTCAATAGAATTTTTAACTGAAAAACTAGGTGGTTTAATAGGGAGGTTGTTGAATTCATTTGTCAACCACTTGGCTAATTTATAAGTTGGTGCACCAATTGCAGAGACAATTGGTCGCATCGACTTACCTGGTTTATGTATCTTGGGCAAACAGTACAAACGGGGAACTGTTGGACATGATACAAGTGATATGAGTCGTTTTGAAAGTGACCTTAGCCACCTTGAGTTTTTTCCTCGAATATGGCTTAGATACGTGGACGACATTTTCGCTATATTCGATTTAAGTTCCAGAAGTCTTCAAGACTTTCTTGATGTTTTAAATTCACGTTCCCCTTCGGTTAAATTTACTGTAGAAATGGAAAAAGATGGCAAATTACCATTTTTAGATACGTTGGTTATAAGAAATGGGAATTCTTTAGAATTCGACATCTACAGAAAACCCACTAATACCTCTAGATATATACCCAACGACTCTAATCATTGTGTTCAACATAAAATGGCTAGTTTTAACTTCCTTGTACACAGATTACTTAGCTTCCCTCTTAGTAAAAATAGATACAATAAGGAACTCTGTACAATTAAGAAAATTGCAAAAGACAATGGTTACAATTGTAACATTATTGATAAATTAATTAATAAGATAAAATTTAGGAATTTTATTTCAAGATCTACGACTTTTCAAACAGATGCTAATAAAACCAAGTTTATTACTATGCCATACGAGCCAAGATTTACTCGCGGACTCGAGGGTATTTTTCGAAAACTTGGTTTACGGATTGCTTACAGTTCAAATGGCAACTCCATTCAAACTCTCCTTGGTAACCCTAAGGATAAAATTCCATTCTTAGAAAAGTCGGGGATATATGAAATTAGTTGTAATGACTGTAGTAAAAAATATATTGGACAAACTAGACGTTCAATCAAAACCAGATTTAAAGAACATCTAGCTCATGCTAGGTTTGGTAGAGAAGAAAAATCTAGTGTTGCCCAACATATTCTTACTGATGGACATAATATTAATATTAATAACCTTAAGTTAGTTAAAGAAGTTAGGAATAATCGTTTACTAAACAGTTTTGAAAGTTTATACATTTATAAAAATAAACAAATTGTTCTTAACAATGACAACGGTCCCATCCCTGGATCTCCGCTATTTAGTTTAGTTTAATTACGTTTATGATGATGATGTTAAGGTCCATTGAACATCTACCTTGTTGGCTTCGGGTCATGTTCACTGAACCTTAACAACTATCAGTATAAATTAGGATTAGTTCTCATTTAGGTTTAGTTTACTTCAGTCCCTGAAGAAGGTAACTTTGTTACCGAAAAGTGCTTCGGACAACTACAGTGTCGTGTTTTGGCGTTGGGGTTTTGAGCTATTCTGCTTGTTCTACAACAACCGCCAAAGTTTTTCCAATCTTCATATATCTATATATATAAAATATAATTTTTTTTAGTTTTAGTTTTTAGTCCTTCTTAGTATGTCAGTTAGTATGTAATACTGATGGGTAGTTCGTCAACTAATTATGAAAAAGAATTAATTCAACAAGCACAAGATGCACTCACAACAGGGCCAAGCTTACTCCAAGATTTTTCAATTCTGAAGCGAGATTGGCAACCAATATTAGACCGAGCCTGGTAAACCCTTGGTATGTAACTTCGGCTCAAGCCTGGACAGCCAATGCTGAACCAAAGTTGAACATCCTAACCCAAAATTGGCATCTAATATTGAACCGAGCATGGTAAACGTTTGGTATGTTGCTTCGGCCCAAGCCTGCTTGCCAAGCTTTTGCCCACGACTAGACAGACAGCACTGAACCAAAACGTGGTTAACAATACTAACCCAAGATTGGCAACCAATATTGGACCAAGCATGACAAACGCATGGTATGTAACACGTGATTGTCAAACTTGGTCCACGATTGAATAGCCAGTGTTAACCAAGACTTGGTGCACAATACTAATCCAAGGGTGAGAATTAATATTGGACCGAGCATGGTAAACGCTTAATAAGTAACTTCGGCCCAAACCTAATTGCCAGGCTTGGTCTACGACTGATTAGACAATGCTGAACCAAGGCTTAGTAAACAACACTAACCCTAAATTGGCAACCAATATTCGATCAAGCATGGCAAATTTTGTTTGTTACTTCGGCCCAAACCTAGTTAGCATCCTTGATCCACGACAGGGCAGCCAATTCTAATCTAAGACTTAAGACTGCAATTAAAATAATACACTTATACTTATGAACTTAGGATTAATGTTTGAAACGTTCTGCAATGTTGTTGAAAAATTATCGATTTTTATGATACTAACGTCTATTGATGAAGTTAGATCAAACAATTCACTTCTGCTTTCATCTCCGAATCAATAGAATAAATAAATTAAAGGTAGATGCATTTCTTTTGTTTTTAGTAAAGAGACCAACAGAGTAGGCCTCACTACTCGTTTTATTAAAAGAACGTTTTGGTCCTGCCGAGGACGAGAAGTTATTATATAATCAATTAATAGGCTGTTACATCTTCTATATAAAACCCCAATTAGTTTAAATATAGGGTTGTTCGGAAAGTCATTTCGTTTTTTGTTGTGGAAATGAAAGACAGTTTTCGTATAATAAACAAATACTTTATTAAATTATATATTGACCGTTCTGGTCCAACACCTATTGCCATCTTTCTGGTAGTAGCATAATTCCACGCTCATAAAATTTTTGGTCTTTGCTGGCAAAAAACTGATCGAGGAGGTTTTTGACCTCCTCATTTGAGGTGAAGGTTTTACCGTCTAAAAAATTTTGGAGTGACCGGAACAAATAATAATCCGATGGTTGCCAGGTCTGGAGAATATGGTGGGTGTAGCATTGTATCCCATTCAAGCTGTAAAAGCTTTTGGCGAGTGACCAAACTTGTGTGAGGTCTCGCGTTGTCTTGGTGAAACACTACACCTTTCCTGTTGATTAGTTCTGACCTTTTCTGTTGAAGTGCATCATTCAGTTTGTCCAGCTGATGACAGTAGACTTATCTTAAAAAACGAAATGACTTTCCGAACAACCCAATAGTTTAAATCAAAATTCGGTATTATACCAATAAATACAGAAAATACAAGTAAATGGTAAACAAAACACTTCTAATAGCATTAATAGAAATCCAATTAAAGCATCCGCGAATAATCATCAAACACAATCATTCAGACCACAGAACCTTAGAAACCCTCCGATTGCTTTTCAGCCTGTACAAAGGAGACCTCAACAACTCTTCTCTACTATTAATAATGGACCACCAAAACCATTTATTCCTCAAAAACCACATCCCGCCTTCCAAAAACCTTCAGATTCTAACTGGCCTAATAGAAATGTTAATAATCTAAACTTTAATCGCCGACCAATCAATGTCGCAAATAGTGAAGACGTTAGTATGCGTACTGTCACGCAGCAACAACGTCGACCTTTTGTCAATTATTTCCAAAGCAACCCAAACCAACTTCCTAAATTCATTGTAGAAGAATTGACTAATGCTGAAAAAAAAAACTTTAAAACTTTTGTGTGTTTTGGGTGTTTCATTCCCACCAACCAGTAATGCTGGTGGGCGGGCAGTCCCTCCGGACTACGCCGGAAGGCCCTCTTCAGCCTGCTTTCAGGAATCGTGGGAATGGGTGGGTGATGGTTCGGGTGAGAAAGATGAGACGGACGAAATGAAGACAGAAGAGAGTGAAAGATTATCTGTGGAATATTACTGCCTCAGCATTTGCCTAAGTGATCCAAGGAAACCACAGAAAAACTTGAACCGGCGTCTAGGCCTCTAGGCCATGCCGCTCGGTGAAATTCTGAAAGCGAGCCGTACGTTTACGATGAAGAAGGTAACACTTATTTGCCCGTACAATATCTAGACGATTTTTCCGAAGTAGAAAAGTCAGGAGAAAACCTCGAAGAAAACTGCGACGACCAAATTGACGAAAATTTTACACAACAAGCCTCGAACAGACAGACCACATAGACCTAGAAAATTTAAACAATTTACTTGTCAAAACGCCCCGTTTATCATACATACAATCCCATGAATTCAAATGCAACATTTTAATCGATTCAGGCGCCTCGAAGTCAATAATAAATCCAAAATTAATTGAAACATACTTCTCCAATTATGTTTATGAAGAACCATTTGAAATAAAAACCGCCCATGGCAAAACTAAAGGTATTTATAAGTTAAATATTTCGCTCATATTCAATAAACCGACTAAAATTGAATTCCTTGTTTGTCAATTTCATAATACTTTTGACGCCCTTATTAGCCATATAGACTTAGTAAATATGAATGCTATTCTTAACTACGAGGAAAGTACATTAAAGACTAGACACTCGATAATAAAATTTCACGAGACACGAGATAAAATTTTACCAGAATCAACATTCCAGAAAATCCCGGTAAATTTGCATAAAAGTAATTGCGTTATTACAGACCATGGCGACATCATACCTGGCATCTACCCCGTGAGTCACGGATACGCTGACGTGTATTGTGTAAATAATATTAACCTAACTAAACCAATAAATGTCGATACTTTAGAAAGTTACCTTTATACAGACCGACCGCCTAGAATAAATCCCTCCTATTGCAACATCATTAGAGAAATACGTACCTCTCACATGAATCACGAGAAGAAAGACAAAATTATTAAACTATGTACAGAATATAAGTCAATCTTCCATAAAGACCAATCTAAACTGACCGCCGTTACTAATGTTATGCATATTATTAGAACTACTGACGACGAACCCGTATATCAGAGGAGTATGCCCACTGCATGTGCTTCTTCTTCTTCTGCTTTATTCACTATGATTTTAAAATAAACAGTTCCTGAAGTGAGCGTGTAAGTATTACCATAGCCCTGTAGCAAAGTTTTTTGCGTTGATCTGTGCTCTCGTTTTAATAATTCCACATTCACAGTCGAACGGTTGATCAAGATCTACCCAAATCTATGTAAGCTAAGGCCAAAGTGGCATTGACGAGAACATGATCAACATCTGATTTAACTTTTCTATTACTATTCTTATTTGCATAGCGCGTTTTTGTTTGAAAAAACATATTCACAGTATTCCCATTACGTTTGCAGTAATCGTATTTCGCACTTTTTCTTGCTTTTGACTTAACTGGACACTCGTGTGCAAAATGGCTAAGTTCTTTGCACTTATAACAAACATCTTTGCCGGGTGAAGAGTATTGATACTTTCCCTTCCACGGTTTTGATCCTTCTTTAAGGCTAAATGATCGGTCTGTGAGCCAGATTATTTAGTGTAGTCAAGTAACCAAACAGCAAATCAAATGTTTCCCCCTAGAGGCTCTGGTTTGAACTACTACGTCACTAATTCCTCCGATGTCACAGGATACTGAATCAGCATGAAAAATCCAACATGTGTTAAGAAGGGCAAGTTTTTCATAATAATACTTGGTATGGATTTCGTCGGATCTTTTTCTACGATTCATCTTCTACCAGAGGTTAGCATTATAACCTGAGGAGAAGGAAAAGCGGTCTGAACTTTAAGCTAGATAAACATTTATACGATACATCAGTCAAACCCTTCAGCTTGAAAGTTGGAAATAAATAGTCATCTCCTCGTTCCAACTTATACACTTCCCGTACCGTAGGTCATCAGCCTTTTGATACCAGTATAAAACAGTCTGATTTTTACTATCGGGATCGAAATCCAGTATAACATCGCCCTTTCCAGATGGTAAACTAGGACTCTCCCGGATTTCTAATAATATCCTTATGATGGCGATCAACTGTTCGATACAGTCGTTACTATTGGGTGCCGAAACCAAACTATCAAATGATGTACCTACTACCTCGTTGACGTGAAATGAATGGCTCGACCATAAGCTGATTGTCGTTGTTGGTAGAACTCATATTTCAGTTTGTGGCAACTAAGCTGTTTAAATAAAGCATACTGTCAAGGAGAAGGAAAAAGAAGGGAAAGAAAAAGAATACGCAAAAAATATCTATACATGTCACCTTGTCAGTTGCATCTTTGTTTCATAAATTGGTAATACACCAGGAAACTCCACACCTGAGGAAAATTGTGATAAAAATTTCTTCAGACTACCAAAAAAAAATAATTAAAAGTGAAGTTTTCAATTTTCTACCAGGTTATTTTTTACCTGTTATATTTGTATTGTTAAAATTGTTGTTGTTGGAGAAAGCAGAGGTGTCGTTATTAAGTAAATAGTATTATGAAATCAGTGCAACAATTTCCCCGAAAGCAACAAGTTAAATTTTTAAATATNCTCCACACCTGAGGAAAATTGTGATAAAAATTTCTTCAGACTACCAAAAAAAAATAATTAAAAGTGTAATATATTAAGAAATAAAAACAAATTAAAGAGGTACTTTCTTACAAAACAAAACTACATTGATTATATTATGTAGAAGGTACCTCAGTACAAGGTGGCACAACATGTCAAATATCTGGAACAAAAAAAAGTATGAGCGACCAATTCGCCCAGTTGTGACGCTGCACACGGCTCACCAGTTTACTGCGCCTGCGCCTCGTGCGTCTTTCGCATTATCCCACGTACCCCCCAGTGTGTTTGTTTACCTCGCTGTCGAAGCATATTTGCTAAGTTTTTCTACAGCTTTGCGGCTTTTATGCATTTACATACTTTATCACATTTCTTTTTATAATCATTGGTCCGAAGAAAGTGAGTGGAAAAGTCAGAGTTCAGAAGAAAATCATCTCTATTGAATTAAAGAGTGAAATCATAGAAAAAAATGAGCAAGGTGTGCGAATAGCTGACTTGGCGAAGCAGAACCGACGTAGTACTTCAACGATTTGCATTGTGCTTAAACAGAAAGAGCCGATAAAAGGACTTTACAATAATTTCTAAGCTCCGGAGCTCTCTCCATGAAAAGATGGAGAAGCTGCTGATGGTTTGGGTGACGGAGAAGCAGCTTAAAGGCGATGCCTTAACACAGAGCATCATCAGCGATTTGCTGAATCAGACCCCGCGGACTTCAAAAGACTCGTTTAAACTTTAGGAAAAAGACCGGCATTCACTCCGTTGTGAGGCATGGTGAGGCAGCATGTTAGGATATATTAACTTTCGCACTGTGCACCAATGCGAGTGGCGACTCTGCTTGTATACCGCAATTGATGTGGAGGGCAAACCCGAAGGCATAGGTCACTTGGCAGTTCTCTGTGCAGTGAGTGAACCTGATTTTTGACCCGTCTGTAAAGAAATATCTACAAGAAAACAACCTACCCATGCATTCTCATCATCTATTATACTCTTGCTCGCCCACCGAACCTAGAAGATGACATCCTCGAAAAAAAGTTCTCTATCTACCACCTAACACCACTCCTATCATGCAGTTCATGAATCAACAAGTTATTTCTAATTTTAAAAAGCTGTACACTAAGTACCTGTCCCGGCGCTACTTTAAGGTGACAGAGAACACAAATCTCACCCTTCAAGAGTAATGGAAGGACTACTTTAACATCGTGATATGCCTCAGAATTATTGATCAGGTGTGGCTGAATGTTACAACGAGGACCTTGACCTCTGCATGGAAGAATCTGTGGTCTGAGTCTGTAGCCGAAAGGACCTTCGAAGGATTCGAACCCAAAATGTCAGTGGAGTCATCTTCAATTTCTGCTACAAGCACTCGATGGTCAAAGACAGTCTTACCGATTTCAAGTGACACGTTAACTTAGCCATAAACAACCGCTTTTTCTCCGGTAGCCGTACGCAGAACCCACTTGGCTGACACAATCTGGTTAGAACCGTCTACTACGCTGGGTTTTACTATGCGCCTAATGGCCCCAGTGTCCAAAAGAAACACGCATCTTCGTCCATTTATTTTTCTACCTAGGAGTAGACTGTCATTCTGGTGCTTCAAGGTCTTCGTAAATGCGATAAATTCGAGTACTTGGGGAAGGAGTACTTTTCCTACACTGCCTCCTCGTATGACCTAGTTCGCCGCAATTGCAACATCTTAGCTTTCGAGTTTCTTTATCGAACTTGAAGATGATTCGGCAGGCGGTTTCTTCTAAAGATTCTGACGAATCCGTTTCTTCACACAATATCCGAACCCTTCCCTGTCTGCTATAGGCCCGTTTAACAGTTTCGTACTCCAATGCACGAGCCAATGCATCAGCTAGCGTCTTAAGTCGGCCAAGGCGCACTGCCAACCTTTCCATTAATTCTTCTAGAGTATTAGGATATGCCAGTCGGGGCATTCTCGCAATATCGGCCACTAATTCTTGTAGGGATTCCGTTACTTTCTGCTGACGGGTTTTCAGTTGGATGTGATACACCGCTCTTAAATGAGCCTCGCCGTAGCGCAACTCCAACCGTTTTACTGTTCATAATCCGCCAATTCTTCCGGAGAAAGGGTGTTCAGAATGTCACATGCATCTCCACGGAGCGCAACGGTCAACGCAGTGGCTTTTTCTTCAGGCGCCCAGATATTCGCCTTAGCAGCTGTCTCGAATTGCTTGTGGTATGTGGCCCATGAGGACTTTCCGTCAAACGTTGGTGGTTTTACTCGTGTTCTTGACTGTATACCGCTTCCTCGGCTGATTTGACTGGCTTCGTTGAGTGCACCAGATGCGCCAACATCCCCTTTGATCGGTTTTGTCTTTCCATTAAAAATTAATTCTTCCAGCAATTTTATCTTCTCTTCTGTTTCTTGAATATTCTTATTAAGTTTTTCTTCCCATTCGCGTTTCAAACTTTTAATATTTTCTTCCAATTTGTTTTCCAAACTTTTACTGTTTTCTTCCAATTCACGTTTCAAAATGTCTTCGACAATTCGTCTTAGAAAGAAACGTTTCAGGATCATTGCCACGGTATTCTTATAAATGTTCAGTGCGTACTTGACCTTCACTAAATTCCAACATCAAGGCTTTATACTAAGAAAGTCAATCAGTGAGGTACATTTTTCTAAATAATCTCCGCATCTACAATTTCCGAAATAGCATTGAATGCTACGTAATGCAATTCTCCATTTTTATGCCAATATCATACGCAGAGGTATTCCATCATATACAGAAAAAAAAATAGCTTTAATTAGATATATAAATTATAAATATATGTCATGAACGTATAAGATAACAAAGTAATGCCTGACTGCGAAGAGGTTGCAGCCAAATGCAGAGTAGTAACGATAAATTTTCAGGTTCATTACAAACGTTGCTGTGAAGTGGATTATATTTTATTTAAGAAACAATTGGATGAAATTTTTGCCTAAAAATCAACTAATATTATTTTAATTACCTACGAACAGTAGCGGCCACATTCTTTTAGATACCTTAGTAAAAACCTTTGATAATAGCTTAAATAAAAAGGTTTACCCATTAATATTTGCCTATCACAATTACAACAATTAATTGAAAAATGAGAAAAGTATGAATAAGAAAAATTGTACTATAGTAATAGTTTCAATTTTATGTAATATAAATGGTATTTGTATATTAACTTTATTTTTAGCTAAAAATAACAAATTTACAGAAGAAGAGTTAATTATAAAAGTGACATCTGCAAAGCCGAAAATCGTAATTTAACTAGCTGTTTTTAGAGTTTGCTTTTATGAATGAGTTGTACCTCAATGTATTTAGATCCTTTTTTTTATATAAACTTATAAAGCAACGAAACATGAAACATTACCGTTAAAAATATCATTGGCGTCTTTTTCCGTTTCTCGAAATTTTTTAGAGAGATTTTTTCCCCGTTGGAAAAAAGTGAATGTCGTGTTACAGCCAGTAAAAGAATTTAAAAAATTGATATGCTATTTACACTGTGCTAATATTGTTTCCGAACTTTTAGATGGGTACACTTTATGTGGTATCTTGCTTTTTGCTGGTTTTTGGAAATAAATTTCTCTGATAATCAAAAGACAGAAAAATTTCTTTCGTAATAGTTATCTTATGTAAAATCTAAGGGTATGCGTAAAAAAATCGGGTTTTTAAAGAAAAATGAATGAAAACTCCAAAGTAATAATTATTGTTTTAATAATGAAAACATTGAGATCGGAAGAAAACCAAACATCCGATTGCAGCAACTTCATGTTTGTAGTTGTTTTGGTAATTAAAATTAATAATTTCTAGTATGTAGAAATATAGAAGAACTAAAACTAAACTTACTTAAAATTACTAGGTGATCTATACAATAATTGCTTCATTAGTAGATTTAGTTGTGATTTCACTAGACAAAGTATCCCTCTCCATTGTATGTATTTAAAAGATTGTTCTCTTTTTTATATTTCTATAAAATACAGGCTTCATTTTTTTATTCCACAATCTTTAACGATTGAAATTACCTCAATAGCTTTGAGAATCGGAAACGTGGGTCTTCTAATTTTATTCAGATACAGTGTAACATCTTTAGCCATATTAAAGAAAAGTTGATCCTGTTTTCGCCACTTTTCTTCATCAAACATACCATCCACATTACATTCTTGATCCATGGTTTTTGACTTTATCTAAAGAAAGTAGAAATTACTTCTTTGAAAATAACAAAGTAAATCATAACTAACATTATGACGCTCGATTTGATCAGTACAGGGCCTTATTTTTCTAATTGCAGTTGTTGCACTTGTTCTGCGGTCATTTTCAAATCCAAATTGTTCCTGTAGATGCTGAAAAACTGAGTATTTATACCAACACGGGTCGTGTTTATGAATCATCAAAAAACTGAATGTTTTGAAATTAACAGGAAACAAAGGAGCCACCTATAAAGCATATCATAGCATTTTCTACTGAACAATTTGTTGTCAAACCGAATGAGTATTTAAATCTTAATAAAACATAGGTAATTTCAAAAATACGTCTATACTGTAAAAAAATTGAAAAGAACTTTTAGTAACTTATATATAGAAAAATATTAAATCAGCTAAACAATGCTTCCGTTTTCAAAAATTTACGAATTTAACATATTATCGCGCTGCTTTCGCACCCTAATTAATTCACTTTTCAAATTTTTCTTCAAATAACACTGTAGTCGTTAGAGATGACTATCAAAAGTTGTAGTTTTCAGAAGAACCAATTTTATAGCAACGTTGAACACATTTTTGCATGAATGATGAGTTTTGACACTATTGCAGCATCCAATGGTTGACACTATTGCAACTTCCGAATAAAAGTGAGCCTGGTGTTAGACTGATTTATTCAATTATTTACACGCTATTTATACAAAAAATATTATTTACATTGGTTTAATGGCAATAGTTGTTTCAGCAGTTTACATCTGTGTGTGTAAATATCTATGCCCTAGTTAGTCGCACTGTATCGCGATTTTACTTTACTCGGCACAATTCTTGGGTGGTTCATTCTCACCAGCCACTAATCCTGGTGGACGCGCAGTTCTCCGAACTACGCCGGAAGGTAGGACGGAAGACCCTCTTCAGCCTCCTTTCAGGAATAGTGGGAATGGGTGAGTGGTGGTTCCGGTGAGAAAGATGAGACGGACGAAAGGAAGACAGATTAGAATGAAAGATTATCTGTGGAATGAATATTACTGCCCCAGTATTTGCCTAAGTGATCCAAGGAAACCACAGAAAAACTTGGATCAAGGCAGACGGACCTGGAATCGAACCGGCGTCCTCCCGGATGTTAAGCAACGGTCTAAACCACTAGGCCATGCCGTTGGGAGAGCTCCACCTCGCGGCAGCTATTTAAAGGAACTGGACTTGTTTATTGAAATATTTCATTCCGGAATTTAAGTTCTAGAGAATTTCGGCATTGTTTCATACTAGATCAATCGTGGCAGCCAAATATAGTTCACCTGTATAGTGGGCTGCGTTAATTAGTAACAGTTTCCCGTATTTGATGTTTTTTTGTATTATCATCTTGGAGGCGACTATTTAACATTAAATATATTAACCGGAGAATACATCTATTAGATAACTAAGGACCATACGATTACAATAACAAAAGACAACACGCAGTAATAGTTATCGTGTTCTTGTCCACTACAAATGTGCCCACTCAGTTAGCGCGATACGAATCTGTAACGGTGTGCAATACACTTAGTGGAAAATCAATTTGGGTTAAGAAGAAATAGAGGAACGCGAGAGGCCATTATAGCTAAAGTAACCATAGAGAAAACGATAGAAAAAGGAATGAATACGTACATAGGATCTGTTGATTTAGAAAAAGTTAAATGATACAAGATGTTAAACATACTTAGCAATGTAGGGATGAGTTACAGAGATAGAAGAGTGAAAATTTGTATAAAGAGCAACAGGAGTTACAGAGCTGGGGTAACAACGTAGAGAAATAAATGTAAGGAAGGGAGTCAGACAAGGATGCACACTGTCACCGCTTTTTTAAATCTATACTTCAAAGAAGCGATTAACATCACTAAAGACAGTACAACTGTATCGATAAATATAGAGGGACAAAAGATTAGTATACTTAGATTTGCAGATGATATAACAGTGTTAGCATCTAACAAGGAGAAAATAGAGATAGCTTTCAATAAAATGGAAGCGGGTATTGACAGTATTGTATAAAAGTAAATAAAAATGAAACCAAAATACTGGTATGCAAGGGAAGAAAAAGTAGGGAAAGAGCGAATGTAATGATAGGAGACTAAAGATTAAAAGAAGTGGCCAATTATAGATACCAGGAAGTCAGATAAATCAGGACGGAAGGAGTAATAGATATACAAAGTAGAGAATAGCGCACGGCCGAATCACCTTCGATAAAAAGAAGTCACTTCTATGCTCGCGAATGATTAGTTTAGAAATTCGAAAAAGATTGTTATACGTGTATGTTTCGAGCGCGGTGCTGTACGGTTGAGAAATATAGATGGTGAACGAGGCATAAAAGAAAACGTTACAAGCGTTCGAAATGTGGTATTACCGGCAAATGATGAGGATACCGTGGATATAGAAGGTTAGAAATGAAGAGGCATTAGAAAGAATAAGAGAACAGAGGACTCTATGGAAGTTACTGAAAAATAGACGAGATGGGTTGGTACGACACCTTCTCAGGCATGAAGGCCTAGTCAGAGACACATTATATGTAGAAACAGGAGCTAAGATGAGTAGAGATAGACCCAGATTAGATTACTGATAGCAAATACCTAAGGATGTAAGATGTTCTAGTTTTACGGAAATGCAAATATTAGCTGAGTCTTATGACTGACGACCTTATGATGATGATGAAACCTGCACGAATTGCTTTTTGGAGTAACTATATGGTCCGACTATAGAAAACCTTCATACAATATATTGAAAGTAAGCACAATGCCGACGCGGCAGAATATCATTTATTTTGTAAACCAGCCCGAAAGAAGTGGTTAACGTTATTATGATTATTAATTGATTATACAACTGTTTTTTACAGTCACAAAAACATCCTTACTCAGTATTCTACTTTTTAGGTCGGTGCAATGCTCTATTAATTGCCGAATGAGTAAATAGTACGCAATCCAGTAAAATATGACAATTAACATACATCATCATCATAAGGTCGTCAGCCCTAAGACTGATTGGACAGGTACCTCCACTCTTTCGTATCCTGAGCTAAACTTCGCATTTCCTTAAAACCAGAACAACCCACATCCTTAACTATTTGCGAACAGTAATCTAACCTAGGTCTACCTCTACCCCTTCTAACTCCTGCTTCTGCTTTTAATATGTCTCTGACTAGACCTTCATGCCTGAGAAGGTGTCCTACCAACCTATCTCGCCTGTTTTTTATTGACTTCCATAGAGTCCTCTGTACAAACGTTGTACGTTGCACGCCAAATTAATATTGTGCAACTAGTTAAATTGGATCGTGATTTCGATGAAGAATAAAAATTCACTGTTTATTTTAAACATTTACTCGAACTTCTATTCTAATCAATAAAACTAAGTTTCAACGCCTAAATTAAAACTATCAAAATTCGTCCAACAAAGAAAACTATTTTTGGGTGGTTACTGGAACAAAACTTACTTGTTTGAGAGATGAAATCTGAAAGTCTGATCCTTAATGTGCTATGAACCCTAACTATGAACAGGTAAATTGGTGAATATTATTTAGCGGGGGTGAATAACTAGAAACTGAATATAACACAGAATATGGAAAGCCCTATCATTAAATGTGAGCACAATCGTCATACAACATTTCTTTCCAGTTTATAACGGTTCTGTGAATACCCAGGTAAAATGTAAACTGGTCCTGTTGTTACTAACTTAGATACTATTTAAAATTACAAATGTGAATTTAAATTAAGAATATTTTAAGTACAAAAAAAGAGAAAAACTTAGGACTTAACATCCTCTGTTCTCCTATTCTTTCTAATACCTCTTCATTTATAACCTTTTCTACCCATGTTATCCTCATCACTCGCCTATAACACCACATTTCGAAGGCTTCTAATCTTTTCTTTTCCGCCGCGCTCACTGTCCATGTTTCGCACCCATACAACACCGTGCTCCAAACATACACCTTTAACAACCTTTTTCGAATTTCTGAATTAATCGTTCGCAAGCATAGAAGTGACTTATTTTTATTAAAGGCGACACGACCCTGCGCTTTCCTCTGCTTTACATCCCTACTCCTTCCGTCCTGACTTATCTGACTTCCATGATATCTAAAATCAGCCACTTCTTATAATTTTTCGTCTCCTATCTTTATATTCGCTCTTTCCCTACTTTTTCTTCCCTTGCATACCAGTAGATATTTTAGTTCTACTTTTATTTATTTTCATACAGTACTGATCTGTCACTACCGTTTCCATTTTATTTAAAGCTATCTCTAGGTCCTCCTTGCTAGATACTAATACTGCTATATCATCTGCAAATCTAAGCATACTATCTTTTGTCCCTCTATATCTATCCCTGCAGTTGTACTGTCTGTTAATAATGTTGATCGCTTCTTCGAAGTATAGATTTAAAAAAAGCGGTGACAGTGTGCATCCTTGTCTGACTCACTCAAATTTATTTCCCTACGTTGTTAACCCAGCTCTGTAACTCATGTTGCTCTTTATACAAACTAAGTATCACTCTTCTATCTTTCTTACTTATCCCTACATTTTTAAATATATATAACAACTTGTTCCATTTAACATTGTCAAAAGCTTTTTCTTAATCTACAAATCCTATGTACGCACTCTTTCGTTTTTCTATCGTTTTCTCTATTGTTACCCGTAAAGCTAGAATGGCCTCCTGCGTTCCTCTTTTTCTTCTAAACGCAAACAGTTTTTCCGCCCTTTCTTCCACCCTCCTCTCTACGATTTTTGACGTATGGGAAGTTACGTTAATTGTTCTTGTTGAGATTTCATGTTTACTAAGCGCTCTTTCGTTGCATATGCTTGTGTTTTAGGATTAATCAATTATTTGTTCTGTAGATAGTCCATAATGTTGTTGGTTTGAGAGTTGCTAATTTTTGTTTGAGCTCCATAGTACCCCAGTAGCACAACAATATTGGTAAAATATTATATTTACATATTGGTTCAATGATGGAAACGTCAGATTTTTTTTTATTGGCCCAATGTAGATTTTTAATATTAACCCAATATTAAAATTGAATATTGTTCCAATGTTAGGAAATAATAAATGNTTATAAAATAAATAACAGTTCTAAATGTCTCGCACCCATCCGCGCCCATCTTTTTGGGTAATGTTACTACTACGTTCCGTTTATAATCCTCAGGGACATTCCCCGTCTCGTAAACGTGACTAACTAGCTTAAACATACGATCTCTAACCTCTTGTCCTGCATGTTTTAAAATTTCCCCCTGTATCTTATCTACACGTGGCACCTTATTATTCTTTAAGTTTTTTAATGCTACATCGAACTCTTCTCTCCTTATGGGATAACCGAGCTCATCGATCTCCACACTATCTTCCTTCTCTAATATATCTCCTAACTCACGGCCTGCATAAAGGTTCTTTAAATATTCTTTCCACCTATCTGCCTTTTCCTCATTTTCTATCAAAATGACCCCTGCCTCGTTTCTTGTATTATTACTACTGTATCCCACATCTCTAAAATCACTTTTAATTATATTATACGCCTCATCGGTTTTACCTATTTCAAATTTTTCTTCTACTTCTATACACATCCTACCAATCCACTGCTCCTTAGCTGCCCTACACTTCCTAATTATTTCCCACTTTATAGCTTTATATCTTTTTTGCCCTTCTTCATCTGCCCTGTTTTTGTATTTCCGCCCTTCGTCTGTTAATCCTACAATCTCATTTGTTATCCAGCGTTTCCTACTTTCGTTTTGTTTAAGACCTAGTATATCTGTAACTGCTGACTTTAGGAACGTTTTAATGCAGTTCCATTCTGTCTCTATGTTCCCGTCATTCGTTTCTCCCGCCGCCTTTACCATTTCGTCTGCCTTTTTACCTAGCCTATCGCGCGTTTCGTTACATTTTAGCTTTTGTAAGTCGAGACGTCTCCTACCTTCCCTCTCTTTCAGAATTTTCAATTTAAAATTGGTCTTCATAACTACTAAGTTATGATCGCTATCTATATCTGCTCCTGGATAACTCCTACAGTCCTTCATTTGATTTTTAAATCTTTGCCTTACAAGTATGTAATCTAACTGTTATCTTCTTAAATCTCCTGGCATCTTCCATGTATAGCACCTATGGTTGAATAAAATATTCGCGACGGTTAAGTTATGTTTATCGCGAAAATTCTATCAGCCTATCTCCCCTATCATTTCTATTACCTAATCCAAAAGAACCTGCTATTGCACCGTCTTTACCTTCACCTATTGCTGCGTTGAAATCCTCTAAAACTATTAGGTTTTCCTGTCCTTTCACTAAACTTAACACGTCTTCTATATCTGTATAAACCGCTTCTACGTCTCCATCACTGTAAGATGATGTAGGGATGTAGACCTGCACTAATACCGTTCTTACGGGCTTTGAGTTTAATTTAACCATAACTATCCTTTCGCTTTTTTGTAAATAACTTTCTACACTGAGCCCTACTTTCCTACGCAGTACAATTCCTACGCCCGAATTACCTTCTACCGATCCTGTATGTATTACTCTAAAGTCTCCACTTCAGAAGTCTCCAGCTTCGGGCCAACGGACTTCACTAATACCTACTATATCTAATTCTAATCTATCCATCTCTACTTTTAAATTGTCTAATTTTGCTACTTGCCTCATTGTCCTAACATTCCAAGGTTCGACTCGTGAAATATTGCACCTATCCCTATAGCACTTATTGATGACATCCCCCGAGGTAGTCCCCGCCTGGACATCCAAATGGGGGACTAGTTTACGTCCGGAGTGCTTTACCCTAGAGGACGCCATCATTTAATTAACATACAGAGTGTTACAATTCGCCTTTTAATTTAATCGATCTAAGCGGGTGCGACTTTATGAAATTATAACTAATGAAACTTTTCGGTGTAGGTTATGATTGAATAAGATTTTGCATCTGTTTTAGCTCAATTTGAAAGTTAAAAAGAAAAATTAAACAATTATACCCACTAAATTTGGAAGTATGCACCTCTGTGTGAAACAGTTCGAGTCGCCACTGATTTATGATCTTATCCCGCTTTCTATGATAATTAATTTCCAAAGGGATAAAACAATATACAAATTTTAAATTGAAATATGATATCGTTAAATGATTTCATACGTGTATCAAAGATGATCCTGTGTGCGCAAAATCCACCAAACGAGGGAACCTTTCTTGACAATAGTAGCATTCCGTCGCTCTTGCTAAATATATCACGTCTACCGGCGAATATTTTAGTATTATAACCTAACTCTTCTCGTTGAATATAAAACCGCTGAAGGTCTTAAAATCACGCTGTTCTATCTACTTATACGGAAAATTATAGAAAACGCTACCGAGAAGCCTTTAATAAAAAAAAAATTATGTTACACAAACGAACTTAAGTGGCAGACAGTTAAATAAGAAATCAATTTATTAAAATAATTTTCGGTTTGAATGCGAATGAAAATTCTTCTTACCGATATTTTGTATTTTTCCTCCTTTTTCTCTTTCTCTATATGTTGAATGTCATAAATGGGTGATTTGCAATCTTCTACTGGTTCATGTTCTTTTAAGTCCCTACAAACATATTCGTGCTATTGCTTATTACTTTTTCAAAATTGTCTATTAAGGGAGTTACATCTTACGTAATGCCCAAATTGGTGGAGTGGTTAGTTCGTCTTTACTATCTTGGTTTTTTTCCTTCATTAGTAATAATTGTTCAAACTTTGGAATGACAGCTTCTCTTATTTGGAATAATTTGTTCTGTATCTTTAAGACAGTAATATTTCTTTTATGGCAGAAAATAATGTAACATGGCATACCATAAATTTCTATATAAGTCATTAGCACAATATTAGCACGCGTAAATTAAATATTGGACGTTGTAAGCTAGCACCTAAGTACCACTCGGTTAGTAGCTCAATTGGAAATCATATAAATAGCGGGAATAAAAATAACAAATTCAGAATTAATTATTCAATCATTAGAAGCGAGCCAGAAGTGAGTTAGGATGGTGAAACGGGATGCTTGTCTTGCGACTTTATATGTTACCTATAGTTAGTAAGGTAAGCAAGGATTTATTTAAATAAAGAACCAATAAAACTCTCAGCGTAACCTATAAATGGGTTATTTATTCCATTCGCATTTCAGCTGTTATGCCGTCATCAACAGTTATAAATGTAAACTAAACTAAATAACAAAATTTAGCTGGTATATATTCTACTATGTCTTCTCATCCTACGTGATAGCTACGTTACCAAAATCGAACAAAAAAAAAGGGGTCCAACCTGTCTACGACGCGCTGATATAATCTGGCAGGATTGAAATCACGATTCGCGTTTGGCAGAATATTGTACTACAGATGGCGTTTACCGCGCCGTTAGTAGAATTTCATAAAACGCTGTGTCAAGGCAGTATGTAAAGCTGGTCTGTGTTCTGACGAAGCTGACTGCGATAGGCAGCTGAGATCAGTGCCGGATTAGCCACGAAGCAAGAGTTGCAAATGCTGCGGGCCCCACGCATTTGGGGGCCCCGTGCACCGTTTTCTGGCCATAAAAAAGTATTATTTATATTTTAGATTTAGTCACAACTCACAATTACTAAGAAGAAAGTATTTGCATCAAAATAATCAACTATAATTTTATTTTCTATCTGCTGGTCATACCAAAAATCATGTTTCGCACTGCACTACACGCAAGTTGACAATACTGCTAAACCAAACAGGAAATTTCCTAATATTTTCTCCGTGCTAGTCGTAATAACCCGACCGATTTGAAAAGGGTTATATTGACTACCAATCTATAAGAAATGATCGATATTTACGTTTGGATGATAATAATAGTACTTTCAATATTAACCATTCTTGAGAAAAGTGGTTTCGTAATTGTGTTGAGTACTGTTTTCTTACGTAATATAGCGGTGCATTCAGTTGTCTCTTAAAATATACCATAAACTCGATAAGTACCTAACCTAAAACAGTCTAAGGGCCCCTTGATAGAATTTGTTACAGGCCCCGCGCTGGCTTAATCCGGCACTGGCTGAGATCCGATAATATCGGAATCGCGATCCACGTCTGCCAGTTTCTTTGTTCGATTTTGGTAACGTGCCTATCACCATCACCTATGCTGTGGATTCTGTTCAGCAAGTAGACATCCATCTAAGTAAATGGTCCTTATTGAACATATTGAAAGCAAAATTTTTACATTGACAGTAATAGCTAAGTTGTTAAAGCTATGACCGCATTCTAACAGATGGTTCACAAAATTAGACTGATTTTTGTGCACTTTACGACAATTAATAATACTCCTCCCTGTTTGTCCGATATAGAATTTATTGATTTCTTTACAATTTGTTCGGTAAGCACCACTATTGTTTAATTTATTAAATTCTGGTTTATTAGCCGAAATGCGCATCGAGTAAATAAACTTGTTTATGAAATACACCGATTGTTTTATTAGTCAATCATTTACTTAATTAAAATGTTCCATCAGGTGCCAACAGCTAAATCAATCTCATTTAAACAAATAATTTTTTCCACGTATTTATTAAAGTTAAATTAAATAAAATTTGAATTCAAGAATTAAATTCGCCGTTAGCATAACATTAAATGAATTATATTCAAAAAGTCGAATACAAATATGACAATTTCTACTTTTTGCTTTAGATACCTCTCGCTCTTTTTTCATTATTTGTCCAAGAAGAGCTTCCTTGGCATCCCAGTAAATATTATCCAAAAGATAATTGACCTTATCCTGTTGTTTTATTTGCTCCTTTATAGCTCTTCTTTCTTGTTCAATTAGTGAGTATTCCTTAGCAAGTTTCTTTTTGTTTTCATAGTTCTATATTTTAAATAAAATTGCTATATTATTATGTGCAAATATCCACAAAAAAGTTTTTAAAAATTAAAATTAAAACCATTTATGCGAAAAATACCANCATAGTTCTATATTTTAAATAAAATTGCTATATTATTATGTGCAAATATCCACAAAAAAGTTTACAAAAATGAAACCTAAAACCATTTATGCGAAAAATACCATATACTCTAAAATGTCATCTTTCGACCTTTAGTCCGAAACAGGATTTAGCACTTATGTATATATACCTATAATATTTCAACAGTGTAGTGGATAAATAAACTGATAAACCAGCAATTAAATTACAATTGACCCACTATATATCTCTTATCTATGATTCCAATGTTTCATATTTATGTTTTGAACGGATGTTACAACAATCTTTTTAACTACCTTTATCTGTTTCCGTTTACATTTGCCTGTATTATTCTGAAAATCTAATTTTAACGTTTTACTTATATGTCAGTGTAATGAACGAACTTAAGTGGCAGACAGTTAAATAAGAAATCAATTTATTAAAATAATTTTCGGTTTGAATGCGAATGAAAATTCTTCTTACCGATATTTTGTATTTTTCCTCCTTTTTCTCTTTCTCTATATGTTGAATGTCATAAATGGGTGATTTGCAATCTTNAATTACAATTGACCCACTATATATCTCTTATCTATGATTCCAATGTTTCATATTTGTGTTTTGAACGGCTGTTACAACTATCTTTTTAACTACCTTTATCTGTTTCCGTTTACATTTGCCTGTATTATTCTGAAAATCTAATTTTAACGTTTTACTTATATGTCAGTGTAATGTGTGGGTATTCACAACATTGTTCCAAAAGTATCAGCACATCAACAGAAGATCTACATTTTTGTTTAATTTCAAGATTATATGTATATTAATTGAAATTCTTATGCTCCTTTTCACATTTCTTCTTTACATAAGGTAGGAAATTTTCACAGATGCGCTAGGTATACATAAAAATTACTTTTTTTGCATCCCTATAAAATTCCTTGTAGTACCTATTCCTTGTAGTACTACCTATGGTTCGTTCACTTTCAAGATAAACCAAATGTAAACACAATCACGCAGTGTACACGTGATTGTCGATAACGGAAACATTGAACAGGGTCATGTTAAGAATAGACACTCAAAAAAGGTACACCATGAGTATAGAAATTTTAAATAATGTACCTATAATATGTTTGAAATTCATTAATTAGCTATATAGTATACATACTAATTTTTTATATTAAAAGTAAGATGTCATGTTTTTACTAAAAATAAGCATTTTAGTAGAAGATTACCACCTTAATTTTACAGATGGTTTAATCACTCTGCCAGGTCTAGTAGTTTTAACTGGAGTTTGCGTAGTATGTCTTTTGCTGATAAGTTGTTGCTATGCTTTTGTTCTATTGGTGGTGGGGATTGAGGTAATTTTGTTTGTTGGTGTTTGATTTTGTATGGTAGGATTGACAGGTGCTTGATTCAGTGGTGTATTGATAAGGTGCGGGATGGGCATTAACGGCGGGTTTGAAAGGCTAACTTTTGTTTAATTAATTATTGATGAGTTTCTTCTAAATCTTCTTCCATCCTTCATCTTGACAGTGATCCATCTTAGATTGTCGTCTTATATTTTTTTGCACCGTACCTACTGATCATTGTCTCATTCACAGTCTGATTTTGCTACTAAGATTAAACGTCTCTGTTTTCTTAGTGCGACTATTATCATAATAAGGTAGATAGAGTAAGATATTCCTTAATTTTTGAAGCGTTGATGTATTCCGTTAATAAATTTATAAGTGAGGTTTTCATTAGTCATTACTATCTGCGAACGCGTAGTTCTGCTGAACAATCTTTGGTTTAGGGATCCTAACAACATCTCTCTAGGAGTGTTCCTCCAATTTAAGAGAGTAATCCGTCTGGTCCTTTTTACACTTTTTCAGCAGATTTTTGTTGAATTGTATTGTTCGTTTAGCTAATCCATTACGTTGAGGATGGACTTAACCCACAGTTCTGTGGTTAAAATTTCAAATGCTTTTGAATTCAGTGAATTCATTGTTGATGTAGTGCTTTGCATTATCTGATTCCAGTACTTCAGATACTCCGTGATTGCAAACCATCCTTGAGTGAGAGGACTTTGTATATCTATATGTATTCAGCATTGTAGGCACCAAACTCGCACTTGAAAATGATCCCGTTTTAGTAGGATAGCTATTCTTTAAAGTTCCTGTAAAACTTAATAGAATGCGGTAGAACCTTGTCATCCTGAGAAAATTCTCAAAAGTTGCAGCTCTTGATCCTAACCAGTTTCAGCTATTAACTCTTCGAAGAGATTTTTGTAAATATTAAGCACAATAAATACTTCTAGTTCTTCTTTCTCTTATGGTGAGGTACGATCAGTACAATAACGGCTAACAGTGTCTGCGATGGGTATGTCTGCCCCCTTTTTATACTTTACTAAAGGTAAATGTGGTAGGACATCGAACAATACCCTTCTAGTGCTAGTGCTAATTCTAGACTTTTCTTGAAAATTGGTTACAAGAACTCACAGTCTGTTTCCACTGTTAACTCTTTTGGGTAGACATATTCATGGAACTTATTAAAAGCAACCTTGTTTGCGAGGGCTTCCTTTTCTATTTGTTGATAACGTAAGTACGGTGGTTGCATAAGTAATATGATTATTATTCTGTAAAAGAACTGCTCCTAAGCTTAGTGCTGACGTGTGTAGAGATGGTCGCCAGTGCTCCAATGTCAAACAGTTTTAAAACTGGTGGAGAGGTCAGTCGAATTATATTAGTTTTGATATGTTAGCTATAAATTTGTCAAGGTAGGTAACCACACTTATAAGTCATTCAAGCTCTTTTTAGTTGTTGGAGTTAGCTCATTAATTGCTTATATGCTTTCTGAAATTATGTGTCCAAGGTACTTGATGGATTGAGCTTCAAAAATATCTTGCATTCATTAATACTAACAATACCTTATTAATTATCTATTTTAATTGTTCTGCTTATTGAAGATTAATGAAAATATCGCCAACTGAGGCTACATCACAGAGTATGCTTGTATGAATATCTCTTTAAAAGTTAGGTTTGATTATTATTTTCGACGATTTGATTTGTCAAAACCCTTTTCTCAAGTCTTAACGTGTAAAAAGCTTAAATCCATTCACACGAGCTTATATATCCTCGATTGCTTTTAGTGGATAATGGCGCCTTCTTAAATTTTTATTTGCATCAATAGGATCCATGCATATTCTTCTTGTGAATAGTCCACACTTTGATGTACGTATATGTTTTACCAAATCATTTCATTCTTTTTCATTTAGAGGTAGTTGTTTATGTTTACACTTTTTTTATAGTTGCTTGTTATGTACATACAAAAGAATTGGCAACAGGATGTTTGAATAAAGTTAGTCTATGCAGAAAACTCATGAAAGTTACCTTTGAACGTTATCATTTTGCAAATAAAATCGCAAAAGTCAGAATAGTTGCATGAGAATGCCTGCTAATCTCATAGTAAATATGCCGAAATTAGAAAGCAGGGAAAATTGTGGTGAGTGGCGTTTGCTGTCGAAAATTATTTAATACTTGAATGTACCACAGAAGTAACAGCAGATGATGTAAAATTCAAAGCAAATATTATTCTTACCATTGATACATCGCTGTATGTTCATGTGAGAAATGCTACTAAAACAGTTGATCTCAGGGATAAATTTTAGGCGTTATTCGACAAGGATTTTACACGAAGAGTTAGTTTACTGACAAGTTTAATTTCCACGCAGTTGGAAGATTGTAATTGAATGTCAAACTATGTAAATCAAATAGCTAGAATTCAGGCGCCAAAATCACGACAGATTCCATTGAAAGTAAATTGTTCGTGTCACATACTGTTCGTAATTTAAAAAATTATAATTTTCATTTTCCTTGAATTGAACTCTCAAAACGCGGAAGTATCGTACGTAATTAAATTTGTTATTATTCCGGGATATATTGGGTCGACTTTGCGAGCCACGAAACCGCTGTGGATCAACACAAATTTCCAGAAGTTTCATGTGACGATGACGAAAACAAACACCATGTGGGGTCCTATAAAGAGCATAGGTAGATCAGGAAAGAGGAGATGAAGTGAAACCCATGTGTGACTGGTGTTTAGTTGATGATTGTAACCCTGTACCGAAATCTTGCCTAGGAAGAAAAGTAAAGGTACGACCGTTTAACTTAATCTCCCTCAGTGACTCGTGACTCCTACCTAATAATTTGGTAATTGCCTATACTTATTGTTAGTCGTTTATTGTCTTTCAGCATAAATTAATTTAACGATAATTGTACTAAATATACAATATATTATGCTTCATATATAATGTAAAAGGTAAAATTGGTGTTTTGGTGGTAAATCTCTCCTACACCAAGCAACCCCCTCACAACTGCAGTACACACGACAAGGAAATTGATTCAAACAGTAGTGGTAATGCATTAAAAAACTCCTAAACGTTTAAGTCGAACAATCGAAACAGACATGTAGTTTCTGGTTTAGAAAAAATGTGAAAACCTAGAGGAATCGTAATACTGACGTAAACCACTTAAGAATTTTGGGAAGTTGTGTCATGATTCATGTTCCTGAATAAAAAATATTAAAGGAGGTTAAAAAAGCGAACTAATATATTTTAGTGGGCTAAGGTGAAAACGTCAGAGGATACAGGGTGTATGATCCAAAGAAAAATATAATAATGACCGGTAGAGATGTAACCATAATTGAGAATACAGAGAATGAATTAGCCATAGTTTTGAACCACTAAGGAAGTACAGACAACAATGACGAGATATTCGTGGGAAACAAAAAGGAAGAAGCTTTAACCGACAGCTCTGACGAAGTTTGGGAAGATACAAACAGTAACCCCGGTAATTTTTCTACTGATGCCGAAGAAGATAACAGCGTAATCAAAACTAAGTAAACATAAAGGAAATGTTACATATCTAATCTAGGTATGGATTTCTTCATTGTGGTTAATGGGTGCAACTCTCGATTTTGATAAAATAATATTTGAATGACTTGTATGCGACAGCTGCATACGCTTTTGGGTTCGCGACCGCAAAAATTTGTGACCGTACTGATGTGTGCCGATGCTGTCTTACACACCTTGGAAGAGCAAAATACTTCAAAAGCTCTACATGTTTAATCCAAATCTTCCATTCAATTGAATACCTTGAATACTCGCATGTTTTAGGTAGAGTTTTCATTCAAGTAATGAACTCGTCATCCTCGTTCATCCTCTCCTTGTACTGAGGAAATTAAATCTCTCGAACGAGACATTCATTGAGTTTCGGGCTAAAATAAGCTCCGAACATTGCTTTGTTAGTGGCAGCATATTGTTATTTTTGTTCTGTTAGGTTAATGCTGTTATGTGTATCAGTTATCTTCGTACCCAAACTTAACATTGACGCTACTGCGTGAACTTCTGGTGTTTTTTGTTCAATTGCACTGTCGTAGAATACCACTTAAATTGTTGAATCCATTGTTTCGTCGTATTGTTCATGTCGCTGGTCAAGGTTATGTTCTTTGGTGGTCGTAACTTGTAACATCCGACAATACACCAACAGGCATAAAATGTTGCTAAACAAATACACTCACTGTCGGGATAGAGACATAATTACAAATAAAACAATTAATTAAAAGTAGAAAAAGGAGACTGTGGTAAATAATTAATTAAAAAATTAAAAAGAAGGCTCACCCCTAATTACCATAAAAACTATTTGAGCGACACGTGTTTCGCCCACTTCATACGTGGACAGTCTCGCGTTGATAATGCCCACGTATGAAGTGGGCAAAACACGTGTCCGCTCAAAAAGTTTTTGTGGTAATTAGGGGTGAGTCTTCTTTTTATTTTTTTAATTAATTACTATAAATTGGTTATTACAGATACGTGTTTCACCCACTTCTTAATGTGGGTAAAAATCAACGCCATACTCTTTAGTTTAATTACATATATGTATGATAATTGATTTTTTACAACATATCACTTGAGAATATTTAGCGATCGTTTTATCATTGTCTGCTTTGAAATAGTTTGTACTATAAAATGCTTAGTTTCAATATTAACTTTAACTAGCAAACTATTTATTAAATTAATCAGTGCTTTCATTAATTAAAATCAATACTTTCTTCCTCATGCACTTATTATTTTTGCATCATGACATGACCCACAAATACTACATTATTTACCTCTTGTTTTTCTCTNGCGTTGATAATGCTCACGTATGAAGCGGGCGAAAAACGTGTCCGCTCAAAAAGTTTTTGTGGTAATTAGGGGTGAGTCTTCTTTTTATTTTTTTTTTTAAGTTAATTATAACAGACCTGATATCACACTGACCATCAAAGAAACTAAAACAGCCTACCTAATATATATTGATGTACCAAACACTGAAAATCTTTAACAAAAACATATTGAAAAATTTCAAAAATATATTCCTTTGCCTGATAAAATAAAAGAAATGTGGAATCAGAACACAGTGAGAATTATTCCAATAATAATATCATCAATAAGCTTTATACCTAAAACATTATACGCTAGCCTAGCCGATTTAGCCGATAAGCTTACGTAGTCTACAGAAATCAGTAATTTCTCAACAGTACTGACATAACCCCCTTTTCAGAAAACACAGCAGGTTAAATTAGAAGCGGAAGTTTTAGTAATGATCGATTATATTTCAGGGCAAAGTGTACTGTTATGTCTATAAAAATTAAGAACAGAAAATTAGCTTCCATATCATATCCCAAAAGATGTGAGTGAGGTTCTTTGGCATTAGCCCGTCTTCACTTGCTCAAAGTTAACCAATGAATACTGAGAAGACCAGGAAAATAATAAGGATAATAATAATAATGAGTAGTCCTGTGTGTGACTAGTTTAGACTAGATTAGTTTTTGTAGTCTATGATACTCTATAGCGGGTATATTATCACTCACTTCTTTTTACTATTATATTCTAATATGTTTATAATTGCTATTAATATCTACTCTTTTTGGTGGTACAGCTGGAAACAAGAAACGTGATGAATTTATTATTGATATCTTTATTATATTCTTAAGTTAATTAAAGTTTTTACAGACATGACTTTTTTATTATTGATTTGCTAATAGGTATGAGGGTAAGGGACTGTTATAAGGTAATCTAATTGGGATATTTTCTTCATTCAATGTCATCATCATAGGGTCGTTAGACTGGTTGGACACGCACCTCCACAGTTTCCTATCCTGCGCTAATCTTCGCATTTCCCAAAAACTAGAATAGCCCACATCCTTAACTATTTGCGAACAGTAATCTAATCTAGGTCTACCTCTACCACTCCTAACTCCTGTTTCTGCCTCTAGTATGTCTCTGACTAGACCTTTATGCCTGAGAAGGTGTCCTACCAACCTATCTCGCCTATTTTTTATTAACTTCCATAGAGTCCTCTGTTCTCCTATTATTTCTAATACCTCTTCATTTCTAACCTTTTCTACCCACGTTATCGTCATCATTCGCCTATAACACCACATTTCGAAGGCTTCTAACCTTTTCTTTTCCGCCGCGCCCACTGTCCATGTCCACTTTCTATATTTCGCACCCGTCATTCAATGTAATAAATGAAATTAAATTTTTTGCTGTTGAAACGAAATATTTTTCACTACTAACTTCTCATGTTTCTGTTAAAAAGATTAAAAAGTTTCAAAAGACACGCTCATTATTTTGCAATTCACCAAAATATTTGTACAATCTTGTGATTGACTGGCGTCAGTGGGACTTTAAAACAATGGTATTTGTTATAAACAATTATAAATACTTTTTCGCGGACGAAGTAGCAGATAAAAGCTGATAAGTAGTAAAAACGTAATCTGTGGAGGTACAGCCATATATCATCTCTCAAAAATCCTATTTAGACTGCCTTATTTCTTTCATTTCATACTATATTATTAACACCACTTACGATTTATTCGTTTATATATTTTTAATTGTTAAAAATTCTGGAAGAACTATTCATTTGCCGTAACGTTTTTTTATCTATCATTACTGAAAATGGCCGAATTAGGTAATCAATGTACCTAAAACTTCGGCGTATGCATACATAGATGAAATATATCGGATGTAGAGAACTGTCAGTTACATACTAAACTTCTTCACGGTTTTCCTGTATATATGAGCCATTGTACCGCACATTTCACCGTGTGTCACAACAAATACATTTTTATGATAGAATCCAAAATCTTGAAATAACGTACTCCTATTATGTATGTACATAGTACGTAGATAGTAAAAAAAAACTGGTTTTAATCACCTCTTTCATTTTATTAAGTACCTCCTCTTCCTTTTTACACTTTATTAGTATACCCATGTCTTTATCTTCCTCTCTCTGTTTTGCCCTGTCCTTATCTCTGGTTTTAATGCGGTCAGCGATTCTAGAAAAAGGATATTGTGAGGATATATACATTATACGGATACAGTACGCACATATACAGAAAGTATTGTAGCGAGCACGAGTGTGTTTGTGTGCGTGAATGGCCGCGGGCGCCTTTCTTCATGTGCGCCGTATTTTGTTAATTTTGTTAAACCCACGAACATTACAAATGGTGGCAGGTGTAGGGTTGAGTAAAAGACATAAAAGAAGTTGTACGAAATAAAAGTAGCCTAGTTAAGAAGAGAATTGGAAGAACGGGATGAAGCGACAAGCGGTAACAAAGCGGAACTTCAGTGGCGGCTCGCGGAGGCGTTTGTTTTAGAAGACGAATTGTCGCAAATGGAAGGCAAATTAGAAGAAAACAGTAAAAGTTTGGAAAATAAATTAGAAGAAAACAGTAAAAGTTTGGAAAATAAATTCGAAGAAAATAGTAAAAGTTTGAAACGTGAATTAGAAGAAAACAGTAAACGTTTGGAAAATAAACTGGAAGAAAACAGTAAAGTTTGGAAAATAAATTGGAAGAAAATAATAAAAGTTTGAAACGTGAATTGGAAGAAAACAGTAAAAGTTTGGAAAATAAATTGGAAGAAAACAGTAAAAGTTTGAAAACAAATTGGAAGAAAATAGCAAAAGTTTAAAACGTGAATTGGAGAATAAATGGGAAGAAAAATTTAATAAGAATATTCAAGAAACAAAACAGAAGATAAAAGTGCGAAGAATTGATCTTTAATGGAAAGCAACTGGTTATTCCTCGAAACAATGTTAGAGAGGTGTTGCAGTCTCTTCACGATGGATCATCGAGTGGCTATTTTCGAGTGAATAAGAAGCTTGGGAAAGTTCGAGAGCGATTTTATTGGGTGAACTGTAAGGAAGATGTCAAGAATTGGTGTAAGAAGTGTACCACCTGTTCCGTGAGTAATGGACCACAGAAAAGGGCAAGGACGCCAATGCGTCAATACAGTGTCGGTGGCCCCTTCGAAAGAATAGCAATCGATGTGATGGGTCCATTCCCAGAGTTCGAGAAAGGTAACAAGTACATCGTGGTCGTTATGGACTATTTTACCAAGTGGGTTGAAGCCTATGCCCTTCCAAACCAGGAGTCGGACACCATAGTTGAGGAGCTGGTGAAAGAGTTGATCAGTCGTTTTAGGGTGCCCTTGGAATTGTACTCAGACCAAGGGAGGAATTTTAATCAGCTACATTCCGTGGAATATGCGAGCTCCTAGGAATAAAGAAAACTCGAACTACTCCACTCCATCCACAATGGATGAATCGGACCTTGAGTAAATATCTCTCCAAGGTAGTGTCTGGTCACCAAAGGGACTGGGACCGCTATTTGCCTTTATTTTTAATGACATACCGTTCATCTGTCCACAAAAGGACTGGTCAAATACCTGCCAGAGTCCTTTTTGGAAGGGAGTTACGACTACCTTGTGACCTCGAATTCGGCTGTAAACCAGGAGATGACTTGGGTGGAGAAGATTATGTTACCAACCTCCGAAGAAAGCTTAACAATATCCACGAGTCGGTTCGTCTGCATACGCAGATTGCTAGAGGATTAAAGAAAACTACGATATCAAGGCTACAGCAGGTGGTTACCAAACTGGAGATTTTGTTTGGTTGTATAATCCTCGTCGTCGCCGTGGACTACACCTAAGTTCCAACAGTTGGGAATGGCCCTATGAGATGACAGTGAAGAGGATTAACGACGTGATCTACCGAATTAAGAAAACTCCAATTGGGAAGTCGAAGGTAGTCCATTTTAATCGCTTGGCTCCATTCGCCGGTGCAAATGAAGAGGAGGCGCGGGCCAGATTCGAAGAGTTCATGAAGGAAAGCCCCCATGTTAACAGGAGATTTGGAGTGACGCAAGGAATCCGACGAGACCTCTTTGCTATATCTAAGGAATATTCTCTGACCCTGTTGAATTATTTTGAATAAGTGGAAGTAGGTTTTTATGAGAATAAACGTTTATTGTAATAGAATTACAATTTTATGTACTCTACTACTCGTAGTGTCACGGAATAGTATTCTTTATTAATATATAGTAACTATAGCAAACTAACAAACTAGGAAATTACATTAGAAGGCGCTGAATTTAAATTAACATTTCAATAGTCTCTTCAAATTAGAGCCTTCTTTTATAAATAGCATAAAGTACAAAAAAATGAACTACTTATAATTATTAAGTTTGCACATGCCTATGTTATTTCTCATTTAATTTTCTTCTTGGTCTCAATATTATTTTAGAAGGTGTTGACGATAGTTGAACATCTATATTTGGTTTATACTCGGGATCTTCGTTATCTTCTTGGTCTGACATATATTCACTGGTAGTGTTTGAAGAATCTGATGTGTCATTAGAATTCGGAAATGTAGAATTATCATTTTGTTCCAATGATGTATCACACATTATTTCTTTCTCGGTCAGATTTATAGGAAGATAGTTTCTCTTTACTGTGGTCTCTAAGAAAACGGCGTCTCTGCTTTTAATCACAGTTTTGGAGATAGGTATTATAAACCTATACCCTTTTGTATTATCACAGTATCCGATGAATATAGCTTTCTGTGATTTGCTGTCCCACTTCTTACGTTTTTCTTTTGGGAGATGTATCATTGCTTCACAGCCAAATATTTTAAGATGACTTATATTTGGTTTCTTCTTAGACCATATTTCTTCTGGAGTTTTAAAAGCCAGTGAACGTGTTGGAGATCTATTAATGAGGTAAGCAGCTGTGTGTATTGCTTCTGCCCAGTACTGTTTAGGAAGTTTTGCATTAATCAACAGACACTTTGCTTTTTCAACAAGCGTACGATTCATACGTTCGGAAACACCATTTTGTTCCGGTGTATAAGGCACTGTTGTTTGATGGACGATACCAGCTGTTGCTAGGAACTCAGAAAAAGCATTGTTTATATATTCAAGTCCATTGTCTGTACGCAAACATTTTATACTGCACTCCAATTGATTTTCAACTTGACATTTAAATTATTTGAATTTTTCAAGAGCTTCTGATTTTTTCTTTAAGAAATAAACAAACACCTTTTTTGAAAAGTCATCTATAAATGTGATGAAGTTTTTTTTCACCACCAATGGAAGTGGTTTCCATTGGTCCACATATATCTGAATGTACAGTTTCAAGTAGATATGTAGCTCTTGAATGGCTTGTCTTAAATGGAAGGCGTGTTTGTTTTCCTTCTAAACAAGTTACACAGGTCAGGTTGTCTTCTTTCTTAGATAATTGCACACCATTTGTATTATCTTCAATTTTCTTTAAATCGCTGAAATTGAGATGCCCCATGCGCTGGTGCCTAACGGACGACGCAATATCTATTACCTAGTAACTAAAGGAAAATGCTCTAATAAACCAACTTATAGAGACCTTTGGGGCGCAGTAACGGAACTCCGCGGACATCTTCTGGAGAATAACCTACAGAAGCTGGCGATTCCGAAGCTTGGCTGTGGACTGGACAACCTAGATTGGAGGATCGTAAGGAACATAATCGAAGTCCTGCTCCGCCGTACTGGAATAACCCGAATCGGACCAATCATGAGAAGACCGTGGACTGTCACATCTATTCCCGGACGGATGTCGTGAAGGCGAGAACTGCAGATTCCGGCATGATCCTGCAAAACGGAAAGTGAAAATGTTTTGGGAGGAGGGGGCAGTGTAGCGGGCACGAGTGTATCGAATACATCGGAAAAATCCCACAACTGTCTTATCAATTACCTATAGTGTCTTTAAGAGCTGTATAATGCATCAAAATTTCACCACCAACCTGCACTATACATATTCATGAATCACTTAAATAGCACTTAAGTTTTATACATAAATAAAATCGCGAAATGCTAAACAGCTTCTCCACCATCTTACATCGTTGATGTTTGTTAAGCCTTTAATCCGAATCTTGTTTCTTACGTGCTTTTTTTCAGTCGTGATACCTAATTTTTCTTACCCTGTGGTGTAAAAAATTGGTAAAGGCTTTCGCGGTCAGTGGGTGAAGTGCTGCTGTTCTGATTCGGATCTAAAGGCCGTCGTGTGTTGGAGTTGCTAACGTAGTGTTTTTGCATTGGAATTTCGGTGAATTTTCGCGCGTTTTATTTTCCGATTAGCACGTTCCTTCGGTGCATATTGTTTATAGCGTTTTGTTGCAT